CAAGAAGAGCATGTTGGGTTGCAAGTGGGTTGATGCCCAAGATCCCACCTCTGCAAAAAAGGCATCGGACAGGCCTGGTCATCACTGGGGAAGGCGTGCCCCTCAGGCGAAGACCAGTGCAAGGTCCTCTCAATGTTTTAGACAGAGTCCCAACCTCTACTCTTATCTGTTGCCAAAAAACAAAAAGGGGGAACTGTGGGGAGCCGGCACGAACGTCATTACAAGGTGCCGCCCACTTCCTTGCAGTTTTGAGGTAACTCCATATTAGGCAGTGCTTGGCAGGACGGTGGGTCCTGGGCTTTGCGCACGCGCGAGCCATGTAGAGTCCCCAGCCAATCCCGTGGCACCTGGTGACAGCGAAAGGCAGACGACCAATGGGGAAACGACAGTGTTCCTATTCCCTATATAAGCGGCCATGTTTTGGGTACACGCGCTCTCGCGCTCAAGCTCTCCCATCAAGTCAAAGGCTCTCCAATAAAGCGTGATCTGAGAAGACTCCTGGTGTGGTGGTCGTTCTTCCTCGCTGGCCGAGAAGGCGTTCGCCGCAATTTACATTCATCCATTTGGAAGTTTTCTCTTCTTTCCTTTTTCCTTCCTTACTTCCACACCCCTCCACCCCCCAAAAAACAGGGTCTCCCTATGTAGTCCAGGCTGTCTCAGAACTCTATCCTCTTGCCTCTGTCTCCTGAGTGCTAGGATTACATCATGCCAGATTCTTACTCTCTTTCAGATGTTTTAAATATGTGTTTTGGCTTCACAACATTTAGTGGAGGCGAGATTTTGGAATGAGGATTGCCAATGTCACTTTCAAGTCTTAATCCATTAGGTGGTTATTATTTGTATAATTATTATTTCTGATAGTACTGGGTTTTGAACTCATGGATTCACTGCTAGGCAGAAGATGTAGAGGTCTACCACTTAGGTCAGGTTCCCCAATGAGTCCAGCAGTTTTTTTTTTTTAAGTCCAGTAGTTTTTTAAAGCATAAATTAGTTGTACCAGGAGAGTTTCATTGAGACATTTCCTCACGTATATACAATGTATCATATGCATATAATTTTTCATGAACCTCACCCCCTCCATTACTGTCCCACATCTCACTCTCACACTTCTTTTTTTTTTATATTTCAAAACTAGTTTTAAATACTTACACAAAAAAAGCTGGGGTGAAGGCTTGTTATAAGTGTGGAGCTGGGGTGCTCTGAGAGAGAGTCCCATCTGTGAGAGTCCCACCCCCACCCTGGAACAAGGGAGCTAGTTAGACATCTTCTCTGGAAGATTCCAGGGCTAAGTGGGAGTCAGTCCTTGCTTTGCAGGTGGATGACTTGGGGAAGAAGGAACAGTTCCCGAGGTGGTAGGCAGTGGTTTCCTTGGTGTTACCGTGGGTAGCGAAGATATCCTAGAGTTGGGCTACTTTCCTTGGGGCTAACTGACCAATCTGTGAGGAAAGGGAACAGACTGTGAAACTAGCGGGCTAGACTGTGAAACGTGTGTTTGGAGGAAGGCAAGACTCTCAACAAGGGCCAACCGAACGCCCCCTGTCGTTGCTGAGTCCACCATGGCCAAGTGGGCCACTGTGGGCCAAGCTCAGGCCTCTGGTGATGGAGTCCCAGGGATCCCCCTTGGGCCCTGGAGGCACCACACTACAGCCCAGGGTGGAGAACACCCCACACTACAAGCTGTCTCCAATCGAAGGCGCCAAGGCCCTGCCAGCATCGACACAACCAGTGTCCAGTGCCAACGAAGGAACCATGGAGATCCTTGATACCCTGCAAGACTCGGCTTCTCCGTAGTCCCAGACAAACTTGCAAGGGCAAGGCTGCCAGCGTACTCCAAATTTAATGCATCTCGGGGTTCCATTTGCATACACACCAACATCTCTCCCCTAGATGTTCCCCTCCTGCAAGTACACATTCCCCTCAATAGAGTCTTGTCCCGCAGCCCACCCCCGACCCCGTGACCCCAAGGTCCTGTACAATTTACAAGGTAATTTAGTCTATTGACTCTAAATGTAGGAAAGAATAGTTTCCTTCTTTTTATGCCTGTCCTGGGGCTCAACGTACCACTTGAGCTGCGCATCTTTTATTCCTGATGGTAAATTGGAGATACAAATGTCAGGGATTCTCCCTCTCCTTCCCCCGCCCTGCCCGGATTGGCTTCAAAACTCGATTTTCAGATCTCACCCTCCAGAGTAGCCAGGATTACAGTCGTGAGCCAGCGGAGCCTGACTCCTTCGTTTTTGGACAAGCTCTTGCTCCATAGGTCAGGTGGGTCTGGGATTCTTCATCCAGGAGCCTCAGGGAAGCTGGGATTACAGGATGAGCCTTGATGCAAGGCTGAGGACATTTCTTAGCAGATCCCTAAGTAAATCCCGGGTCCCAAATGCTGACGAGGGGGAGGAAAGGCAAGGCTCCTTAGAAGGATGGGGCTGGGATCTGGAAACCCAGTGCTGGCCTGTAGAATCCCAGTTCCCACAAATACACCACCGACTCAGATACAAAGGGCAAGGAGTTTTTATTAGCTGCTGTTTATTAGAGACTGTAGCAGACAGGCTCTCTCCCAGCGTGGCTTATATAGGAAAGAGAGGCCACGTGCAGACGGCTGCGCACAGAAAGAGCCACACGCAGGTGGTGTGTGCACATGACAAATAGCCATTTCCAGCAAGCAAAACAGTAGCTCGGACATGAAGACCACACCACATCAAATTATATCTAGATTTTCCCTTTGTTGGGGTTTATCTGAAGTTTACCAAACCATGCTCCAAACACATCCTATTTGCCAAAACAAAAAACAAAAACCACATTTCACACCTCCCAAGTTTCCAAGTCTAAGGCCGAACCACTTTCCGGGTTTCTGGGCTGACACCTGATGTGGAACTCGTCTATCTTGGCTTCCTCTCATCTTCCACGACTGAAGCGAGGCGTCCAAGCCCAGCGCCCCCGCCAGGGGCAGTGGCTCCGGCTACAGGACTGCGCGGTGAAGCCCGGGACTGGAGTCACCGCTGGCGTGGGGAGGAGCAGGAGGAGGAGGCCGCGCGGGCCGCGCGCCGGTGGCTGCCGCCTGTCACCCCAGCCCCTGGGAGGCCGAGATCTGCGAGAGGCGCTGGAAGCCAGCCCGGGCGGGAAAGTCGCGGAGACTCTCATCTCCAATGAATCGCAGGAAAAAAAAAAAAAAAAACAAACCCGGAGTGGCGCTGTGGCTCAAGTAGTAGAAGCGTTAGTCTTGAGCCAGAGGAGCTCAGGGGCAGCGCCCAGGCCCCGAGTTCAAGCCCCAGGCCCGGCAAATATAAAAACATTACAATCCCTCCCAGGGTAGCCCAAACTGAACACTATAGTGCATTCGGTGGGCTGTTCCGCCAGAATAAAATACCCTTCCTCGGCCTCAGATACACTGGATCTTTGCCCCGCAGTGGCTCGGGGAGCAGAATCGCTCAGAAAGGCAAGGCGCAGGTGCAGGACCCGACATTCCCCTCGAACATCCCGCCTTAATGGCCGGACGGTGGCCGGGAAGGGTCAAACTTAGCGCCGCGGAGCCGGCCGCTTCCGAAGTGTCTGTGATTGGCCCGTCCGGCGCCGAGCATCACGGGAAGAGAAGCCGGACGTAAACCTCTACGGGGACGCGGCCGCGCCTGCAGCGCCCTCGCGGGGGTGGCCTGGCACTTTCGGTGGACCCCCCCCCCCCCTCCCCCACCCCACACACACACTGTTGTCCTCATGGCGCGGCGGGGCGGGGCCCTGGGCTTTGTCGAGTCGCCGACGGCCGCCAGGTACCGCCCTTCCTGAGCGTGCCAATCCCCGGCGGGCTGGAGGGCGGGCTCTCCAGGTTTGAAATTTCCCCAACTGTTGTGGCGGTCGTTCCGTGCGCGGCCAGGGTCGCTCCGAGCCGCCGCGGGCCCGAGGTGCGAGCCCTGATCCTGGGCCCGGGCCCGGTGGGCGTAGATCCCCCACCCTCCCCGACCCCGAGTCCCGGCCGCTCCGGGCGGCCGCGGCCTACTAGGCCTTTCACCCGAGGTGCGACCTCCGGCCCAGCGCGCCTCGCCTCCCGCCGCGGCCTGGCCCGCTGGCCTGGCCTGGGCGTCCGCGGGCTGGCTGTGAGCGGCGTCGGCGGAGAGTTCACCTCAGCGGTCGCGTGTACCCCCGCGGCTAAAGACAGCGTTCCATTGATTCATCGGAACGGTGAGCGCCCTGAACCTCTGTGCTAAGGAGGGAACAGTCTTAGGTGACGGTGAGACTCGTGGGGGGCGGGCTCGGGCTGGGGTGTCCAGCCCGTCACCTGCGGACAGCAAGCCTGAGGGCCAAGAGAATCACACCGTTTGTGTTTCAACCCGGAGGAAACGAGGTGCTGCTTTGTCGGCCGTTCTCGGCATTGGTAACGATGCCACAGGATGGGCTCCTTCATCCTGCCCTTCAGAGACGAATCCGCTGACGAGGCGATCCACTTTTCCTTCCGGTGTCCCCATTCCCCCCCCCCCAATAATTACACTCATCTATGCTTCGTTCCCCCTCCCATGAAAATACAACTGTGCATCTTAGGTATGTTCTGAGAGTGTCTCCCTATATAGTCCTCGCTGGATCGCTCCACCTGACGATCAGCCTCCTGAGTGGTGGGAGTTCCAGCTTTTTTTACATTTATCATATTCTGGATGCTTTTCAAATCAGTATTTCCTAAGGTATATTGTCAATAAAAAGCCCCGTAGTGTAACCTGAGTTGAGTGTTGATAAAGAATGCGGGTTTTGAAGTAGGGTAGATTTAGGTTTCTGTTCTTTCTCACTGTGAATGTGACACCTCTGTGGCCTGATCTTCTAGCTGGATTTAATAACATTCAGAAAGTCGGAAGACTGAAAGTTGTACGCCAGCCTCAAAGAAATGTGTGCTGTAGAGCGTTCGTGCATAGATAGACAGACAGGGGGCATATAGATATATGTGTAGCTCTCTATTTTCTATATCGGTCATTTTTAAAATGATTCATTGTCTCTGCATGTTATGTCTATTAGCCCATTGCCATATGCTAAAGCTTTTAAAAAAAAAAAACAAACAAACCGTATCTGTAGTTTTTGCCTGTTAGAAGTCTTTCTCAATTCTACCTCTCAGTTTGGGTTAATGTGCTCTAAAACATATTCCATCATAACTGTTGTTGTTAATATTGTAGTAAATGCATAGAATTTTCTTTTCCCTTTGGGAAGAGAAATGATGCTCAGTATCTTATACAATAAGTTGTTTAGTCTTAATTCTGCGGGTGCTTGTAGCTGATTCTTTTATAAAATGGTTTACCAATTCTTGAATCTTGTGTGGAATAAGTAACAGTTTTCTACTTGGTACACCGGCAATTATCTGTTTTCAGGAATAGATTTTCTTTGGGGCAGTGGGAGGGGCAGGGCAGGTCCCATCCGGAGCCTTGAACTCTGGGCCTGGGCACTGTCCCTAAGCTGCTTTTTCTCAAGGCTAGCACTCTCTCACATGAGTTATAGCACCACTTCTGGACTTTTCTGTTATTAATAGGAGATAAGAGTCCCACAGATTTTGCTTCCCCTGGCTGGCTTCATACCACAATCCTCAAATCTTAGCTTCCTGTAGCTAAGATTACATGGTAGTCCTAGGTGGCCAGCTTCACAATAGATTTTCTAAACAGCATTAAAACAGAAACATCATTTTAAAATTCATCTTCTCTCATCAAGCAAGCACCCCGTTAGGAATAATTTCTTGTCAATGATACCCATCTCTTAGGTCCTCTGTGATTTACCTACAGAACATTGTTTTTCCTCAACTCTGGAGATACCATTATTGTAATAATCTTTTGGGAAGGCAGCTTAACATCTGAAACCCTGTATTCAATTGTCACTGATCATTTTTTGTCACTTTTTCTGGTTCTTGGTCTTTCAAGTTGCCTTTTACTTCAGGGATATTTGCCTTATTTGTCAGTTCCATTGTTTTGCCTTTCTTCTTTTGGGATCTAAGTATCCCCTATTTCTTTTTTTTTAATTTTAATTTTTGTTCTTGCTGGTACTAGAGCTTGAACTCTATCTCACCTCATACTCTATTTTAGCTTTTTCACTTAATGCAGGTGTCCTACCACTCTGAGCCATACATCTACTTCCAGCTTTTTGCTGGTTAGAGATATGAATTGTTTAGATTTTCTGCCTACACTGGCTTTGAACCTCAATCCTCAGATATCAGCATCCTGAGTAGCTAGAGTTGCTGGCATGCTCCACTGGTGCTTAGCTGTTTTTATTTGCATCAATTAGTTGTATAGGGGGAGTTTATTTTGAAATCTACATAGACATATATACATATACAGTGTACCTTGAGCAGATCCACCTCTGTCACTCTCCCTATATTGTCTCCCCACTTCCCTATCTCAAGCTTCATTGTTACATTTTCACGTGTATAAAGTATTTTGGCTATATTCACCCTCCTTCAGTCTCTCCATTCAGTCTTCTTACACCTTACTTTAAAACTAATTTCTTGAGCAAGAGTGGCTCATGCTATAATACTAGCTACTCAGGAAGCTGAGATCTGAGGGTCATGGTTTGAAACCAGCCCAGACTGGAAGGTGTAAGACTCTATCCCAATTAACCACCAAAAGCCAGAAGTGGTACTGTGGCTCAAGTGGTAAGTGCTAGCTTTGAGTGAAGAAGCTAAGTGACAGCACCCAGGCCCTGGGTTCTAGTTCTATACCATCACACATACAAATATATATATATTTAGAGAGAAGGAGGGGATAGAATGTTGATATTATATATAAGAATTAGAACTATATACTAATAATAAACATAAGAATTAAAAATAACAAAAACTAAAATCTTTATTCTGATTCTGAGATATAGACTTTCATGTTATGAACCAATCAAACCTTTTAAATGGTACAATGTCGTTATAGAAAGCAAGTAAAGTTCTACACCAAAAAATAATGAAGTCTGATTTCATATGATTCATAGGATTTTGGGGGCCCCTGTTGAAGTTCTAGCTGGATAAATATGCTTGATTGAATTCTCTGTCAGAGGAATTTTGTTAAAGTCTTACTCAAGATGATTGCAACACCTTTGAAATGTCTGTCTTCAGGGATACCTCAAAAAGAAGATATGGCCTTGGATGCAGTGTTTTTTGATAGCATTCCTTCAGGTACACTTACTCCTGTTAAAGATTTGGTGAAATATCAGAACTCTTTAACAGAGAATGGCCATAAAAAGAATCAATTCCTAAAAAAGACAACTTCTAAAAATAAAAACATATTTCAGTCTACAATGCTATCAGAAGCTACCACTTCTAATGGTTATCTTGATATCAGTGCTATAAAGCCCAACAAAGATAGATTTAAAAACAAAGAAAACTATGAGTCACCAAGGAAAATATTCCAAAGAATGAAAGAAAAAGTACTGCAGAACAAGGAAAAACAAGCATCAAGAAGCAATGGTGTTCTGGAACCAACACAGAGTGAAAATAGAATCTTCACTCCTAACAGAGATGAGGAAAGACTGTTGGAGAATATCTGTGATAAAAAGAGAACCAACAAATCATTCCAGTCAGGAGAAAATTCTCAAGGTTAGTTTTGTTGTGCGTTGGCAAAAAAGCTGTAATATCTTAAGTCTTTAAATATTTGACACTGTTTGGGGTATTTAGCTCACATTATAATAGCTCACATTTCAGGTGAATTTTACAGTTTAAGAAAAGCAAAAAAATTACAGTAAAGATGATGAAAAAGTTGGAGGGTTTTGTAATTTTTCAGTACAGAATTAGTGGGAAGATTGCATTTGAGTCTAAGTCACTGAAGGAGGTATTAAATACAATAGGCTCTTAGTGTGTCATTTCTGCTGTGCAGGTAAAGCTGTAAATGCTCAGGATACATACAGTTCAGCACTCTTCAATTATTCATATTATACTGCACATACATTAGGTCTGAACATTCATAGCTTGAAACTAATAGTAAACTACATTACTGTCATAAAAATTATTGTTGTACATATTAATACTGCTCAGTCAAAACTAGATCTTATTTCATATTCTTTATCTTGAATACTGTGATGCTTGATTTTTTTTTTTTGGGGGGGGTCCGGTCATGGGCCTGAACTCTGAGCCTGAGCACTGTCCCTCAGCTCTTCAGCTCAAGGCTAGCGCTCTACCACTTGAGCCACAGCGCCACTTCCAGCTTTTTTCCTTTTTGCTTATGTGGTGCTGGGGAATCGAACCCAGGGCCTCATGCATGCAAGGCAAGCACTCTACCACCGAGCCACCTTCCCAGCCCATGTGATGCTTGATTTTTACTGTAATACTGATCACCTTATGCTAACAATAAAACCACTTTCCAACAAATCTAAAAATTTCACTTAATCACCTAAGTTAAGCACAGGGTTACCATAAATTTTACCTTTTGGGGTATCATTTGCTATTTTTTGCATGAGGAAGATAGTAAAGGGAAACATTTATTTAACTGTAAATTGTAATATACATGGCAATAGTACACTGGCCTACCTATGTGGCAGTAGTACAATGGTCTTATTACTGTACCTAAATGTGTACTTCAAGATTTTTTTAAGGTAAATTTTCTTCTTCATGACTAATATAATTCTGCTTCTTTCTTTAAAAATGAAGTTCCAACCTCAGCCCAAGAAGTTTCTCTACAACCATCAAATATTCACCACAGCAAACAAAAGACTCACCACCATCAGGAAAAGAATACACAACTGCACAATTTAACTTATGGTAAACTCTTGTTTTAGTTATTTTTGATCTTTTACTTCATTGTCTTGTTGGATAAGCAGTAAGGACTGACTCTGGACAAAACCTTGAATTATACAAGCTCAAGGAACATAATAGAATGAAGGGTAGAGGGTGAACTATTCCTAATCTGAGAACTTCTTTTAAATATAAACAGTATAACTTTAAATATAAAATATCAACTTATTTCTCTCTCTATTTCATATGATCCTACTCTAAGCTTCATCTGTTTTATACTTTTTTGTAGAAATTCAAGTCCCAAAGAAAAAACAAGAGAATGTTCTGGCTGCAGAAATCTCAAATAAGGCAGTAACTAGAGCACAAATGGCCAAACAACGTCTTCACGTAAAAGAAAAAGTTGTCGCCACTATGTCCAAAAAGGACACATTTGTTATACAAGATGTTGATTCTGCCTTTGAAGAATTCCAAAATACTAATATTGATGTTCCTAATACTAATTGTGTCTCTATTAAAAACTGTGCTCAATTAATGATTTCTGATAGTGTGATAACAGAACAGACTTTAGAGGAAAACAAGGCACAAAATGAAAAGTCAGCATCTAGAACGACTAGTCTTACAGGATCTTTGGAAGATACGTGTAAAATTGTGCTTGCAAGTCCAAGACTTCATTTACCAGAACCTCGGAGATCAAAAAGAAATGCTTTAAAGCTTTTCCCTCCATGTGTACTTCAAACTGTTAGAAATGAAGCTAAACAAAACAAGGTAGGCCTCTATGCCCTTGAAATGGGTAACTTGTAAAGTATATGCATTGTATCTCAATAAAGCTGACTTGTACTGTAAGGGGAAAAAAAAAAGAGGAAAACTTTTTTTTTTTTTTTTTGGGTCCGGTCGTGGGGCCGGAACTCTGGGCCTGGGCGCTGTCCCTCAGCTCTTCAGCTCAAGGCTAGTGCTCTACCACTTGAGCCACAGCACTACTTCCAGCTTTTTTTTTTCTTTTTGCTTATGTGGTGCTGAGGAATCGAACCCAGGACCTCATGCATGCGAGGCAAGTGCTCTACCACTGAGCCACCTTCCCAGCCCCGGAAAACTTTTTTTTTGTTTTGTGGTAGCATTCTTCGGGCTGGATCTCAGGGCCTGGGTGTTGTGCTCAAGCTTTTTTGCTCAAGGCTAGTGCTTTAACACTTGAATCACAGCTTTATTTCTGGTTAGTTTGAGATGAGAGTCTCATAATGAGGCTTTCTATCCTGCTCTGGCTTGGAAACATGATCATCAGATCTCCATCTTCTGAGTAGCTGGCATTATAGGTGTGTGCCACTGGTGTCAAGCTTCTGTTCTGATTGTTTTTTGAGGAAGGGTATTAACAACACAACTTAATTAAAAAGGAATTATAACATCTAAGGATTTCCGAGTTTTATTTATGATAAAAAGACTTAGGACATTATGATTAAAAGATTTAGGACATTAAACTGTTACATTAGGGTAAATTCCTGAAGGAAGTGCTTTGAAAATGAAAATTCAAGAAAAGTGTAAAGTTTCCAATTATAAAACGTTTGCTCATTAATTTTTAAATGGATGATAATTAGTATCAAATTGAAATGGCTGTCTTAATTTTAAAGAAGTGTATTGTTTGAGTTTCTATATATCACTAGAAATTGCATTATTTTCTTTTTAAATTGCATTATAACTTAAAGCCAATTTTAGATGTTCACTTAAAAATGTTTGAAATAAGATGAGCAAATAAGATGAGATACCAGAATTGAGGTTTAAAGCCAGCCAGTACAGACAAATCCAAAAGACACTTATCTCCAATTAGCCAACCAAAAGCCAGAAGTGTTGGTATGGCTGAAGTGGTAGCTCACCACCTTGAGTGAAAAAGCAAAATGAGAGCAGGAGGCCTTGAGTTCAAGCCTCAGTAAAGACAGGTGCCAGTGGTTCATGCCTCTCTCTAATCCTAGCTACTCAGGAGGCTGAGATCACAGTTTGAAGCCATCCCAAGTAGATTGGCTTATCTTATCTATAATTAGCCCCCAGAAAGCTGAAATGGAGCTGTGGCTCTAGTGGTAGAGTACTAGTCTTGAGCAATAAAATAAAATTAAGCTTAGTAACAGCACCCAGGTTTAAGTTCAAGCCCCAGGATTGGCCCACAAAAAAAGGAGAGAGGGAGGGAAGGAAGGAAGGAAGTGAGAACAGAGAGGGAAAAAAAAAAAAGAAGAGAGACACTGTTGAAAAGGGAACTTTACAATTTAGGTGAGGTGGGGGGGAGTAGTTGTGGAAGTGGAAGGGAAGGGATGGTAGGGGAAAAACAAAGGAGGAAAGTAGGTAATTATGCTTGATAGGAGATGTACTCATTACCTTGCTCATGTAACTGTATTTTTACAATAAAAATGTATAAGAAAAAGGAAAAGAGTAAGCCCTTCACCATGGTTTATAGGAATGTGTACATACCATTTATTCTTGAATGAGATTTCTAACCGTATTATTTCCTCTTGCCTATGCCTTTCAAGTTATTATGCTTTATATGATGCCTACTTTGGGCCTCTGTACTTGATCTCTGCTGTAAGAATCTAGTAGTTATTATGTCACTCATCCTTCACTATTCAGTTCTCTACTTCAAGACCCTCCTTTACTGTTTGTTTGGTTTTTTTTGGGGGGTGTCAGTTTTAAACATGAGATCTTGCATTTATTAAGCAGGCTGTCTACCATTTGAGCTATGTCTCTAACCTTGACTATCCTATCTTACTTAAGCACCTACTTTGTAATATCTAAAATTTACTTTTTCTTGTAACTGTAACCAGTTAATGACATTTTAGTATGTATTTGTCTGTTTTGAAACCACCATCTTGCCTCCTGCCTCTACCTCTCCCTGACATACATTTGCTTCAGTATGCATGCATGCATGTACACACCAGTTTACGCTATGAGGGTAGCCATTTTATTTCTTGCTGTATCTCCACTGTCTATAACAGCGAGTATAACTCAAAAAATATAGTATTTGAATGGATGAATAATGAATATATATTTTGATATTTAAATGGGCAGTGTAGTAGGATTGTAGAAAAAGAATTCCCAGATCTGTAATCCATATTTGCTGCTAATTACCTGAGTAGCATATAGGTAAGTCATTTAGACATAGTTTCTTTATCTGTGTAATGAAGGATATAATACTTTCCTCCTAGTAGTGTGCATGGAATACTGTTAGTGTTGGCTCTGTTATTTTAATGTTATCTCCATCTGACTGATGCTTTATCTCAAGACAAATTTGGGGAACAGGAGGAATGTTCATTTCCCAGTCTTGCTTATAATTTTGTTTTTCTTTTCAATGCTGGGGATTAGCCCTAGGTCTTATATGCGCGAGGTAACCATCCTAGAACTTACATTACCATCCTTCCATAATATTTTAAATGCTCCTGTTTTAGTGTGAAACTACCACTGGAGGATTTGTCTATATATAATTTTATACGAAGTAAATGGCCACTCAGATTAGTTAATCTATGATATTTACCTGTGGTTCTCATCAGTGATAGTTCAGTTTTAAAATTTTCATGAAATCTTTTTGCATAGATATAATGGAAATTTTTCTATTTGAATGATACTAAATTTTATTTACACTAAAATAATATTCTGAGCTATTTAGATATTTGCTTTGAAATAGAATGCTATTAAATTAATATTACCAGCAAATAGTAAGAGAAATGTAATACTACTTTTTGTTCACTCTCTTCATGTTTTCAATTTTGTAAAATACTTTATAACAATAGCTAGCTAAAATAAATTGTGGTTCTTATAGATAAGTATAAAAGAATCATTGAGGTTACTTAGGTGAGTTTTGGGGGTTTTTTTTGGTAATTCAAGTTGACTTTCTAGCGTTGATGCTATAAGTTATGCAAGTGATTTTTTTAAAAATTCTTGTTTAGGTTGTTCACCTACAGGAATGGATGATTAAAGTTATCAATGATAATACTGCTATATGTGTAGAAGGAAAATTGATGTAAGTATAATATTTACCTATTATTTTACAGATGAGGCATGACTCAAGTGCTAGAGTGCCTGCCTAGTAAGCAATTCTGAAGCCCTGAGTACTACCAAAAAAAAGAAAGTTTGAACACTCTTTCAAAAGATAGTTCTGAGTAGCTAGAATTACAGGCTTCAGCCACTGGCACCTGGTCTTTTTATTGTGTTTTTAAAATAGTGACAACTCAAAGTGTATGTTGTTTCATTTTTTTCTAAGTTGCTAATAACTGGACTGGTATTACCTGCTTAAATTTTTACTACAAGCATTTTAGTCCACATTTTCACATCCAGAATGGAACAAGCAGATATAAATTGCTAACCTAGAAAAGAAAGCAAGATTATTTCAAACTTTTTTGCACAGCTACATATTAGGTGGTTTTCTCTAAAGTGAGTATCAGTAAGTACGAGGATTTTGTGTAACTCTGCTCCTCTTGTTTTTCTGTTTTTGATAATCAGCTTCTTAGTTGTGAAACAAATTTATAATACAATAGTATATCATTTATGGTACTTACATGGAAATTTATAAAGCTGAATACAGGAGCTGGGAAGGTGGCTCAGTGGTAAAGTGCTTGCCTTGCATGCATGAGGCCCTGGGTTCGATGCCTTTAGAGTTTTATTTAAATTAAATGTCCGTTAAGTAAAGCACAAAAGAGTGAAAGAGATGTATTAAGGTATAACTTAATCCCATTTGACTTAAAGTAAATACTTTATTACACTTATAAATAGAACGTTTATTACCTGAAAAATGAATGTTCAACATTTCCCTAATACAGCTTTATATTTTGTTCTTTGCATTTTATATTTTGTTCTTAGTATCATTGAAGTGAGTGCATTTGTGGGTCAGTGATTTGCTATTATAGTTTGTTTTTCTACACTGGAATCCCTTCTTGAGATTTTTGTCTTCCAAGGTAAAAATGTTTGGTTATGTATTAAAGTTAAAAATACCCTCAAGTTTGGGCACTGGTGGCTCATGCCTGTAATCCTAGCTATTCAGAAGGTTGAGATCTGAGGATTACGGTTCAAAGCCAGCCTGGGCAGGAAAGTCTTTGAGATTATCTCCAGTTAACCACCCAAAAACTGGAAGTGGTGCTGTAGTAGAGTGCTAGCCTTGAGCAAAATAGCTCAGGGACAACACCAGGCCATGAGTTCAAGCCCCATGACTGAAAATAAATAAATAAATTCCTTGAGATTAGATGGATTTATTATACCTGTAATACCAGCTACAGCTAATTGGAAGACTGGGGCAGAAGGATCAAGAGTTGAAGATCAGGCCGATTTCACTATATTTTCTATAGTGAAATCCCTTCTCAAAAAAAAAAAAAATGTGCAGGAAAATCAACACACACAAGATCATGAAGATAAAGGCTCCAGAAAAATTATCTTTGGAAGCTTAATGTATGTTAAGCTGAAGTTGAAAATATTGCCGATACTAGATAGAGAAAAGGTTTACTTCCATGTTAATAAAACATTTCATATTCGGGACAAGGTTTGGCCACAGGCCAGTTTCTTGGTATATGGTCTAAGAATCTCATTAGCTAAGTGGGAGAGTTCTTCAGTAGTGTTAGTGTAAAATGTTTTGTGATTAGATGAATAATACTGTTATTGTTGCTGTAACTACAGTGGAACATTACTACTTTTCATTACAAATTTGTAATTCTATATGAATGTGGCAAAATGTGAATATTTTGGCCTTACTGAACTATTCTTTTTCCTAGAGATATGAATAATATATATTGGCACAGCAATGTAATTATAGAACGGATTAAACAAAATCAGCTTAGGACTTTATCGGGCAACATTTATATATTGAAAGGAATGATAGACCAGTTTTCCATGAAAGAAGCAGGTGAGTGTTCTTAGTTGAATCTTTCACAGCTTTCTATCTTGTCTTAAATAAATGCACAGTTCTGTACCCCAAAGTTACCCCAAAGGCTTCTATCTAAATTTCCCATGTTCTTTCACTGCCTGTATTTTCCATTTGAGTAGTTTTCTAGTTCTTATCCTTTATACCACTTCAACTGTACTGCTCTTATTGTTCCACACATACATCAGGTATGCTTTTTGCCTTATTGCTTTCCTTTGCTTTCAGCATTCTCACTCCAACATGGGTCGTACCTGCTTCTAACATTCTAACTTCAACAAGGCTCATAGTCTTGGATTCTTCAAGATTTTTTCACTGCTTCAGTGAGAACTTCCCTAACTTTTTCTTTTTTTTAAATAATTGTCCTTTTCTGTACTTCCCATGAACATGCTTATCCACTTTCCCTACAATACCATCTACTAAACAAGTGGGTTTTTTAAGACTGATTTGCCTTCTCTTACATAGTAGAAGGCAAGTTCCTTAATGGCAGAGAGTTTTCTCTACTTCATTAACTGTTAAGTCCTCAGTATCTTTGACAGTGGCTGGCATGTAATAATAATACAATCAACATATGTTTCTTGGTTGAATTAGTGAATTACTGATATGTTTTGAAAATTCTAGACTTCAAATTTTTTAATTTTTCTTTAATTAGGATACCCATATTATCTCACAAGGAAATTTATGTTTGGATTTCCAAAAAATTGGAAGGAGCACATTGATAATTTTCTACAACAACTAAGGTAAAGTGTTCTTTTAAGTTTTGAACTTTTTTCTTTTTTTTTCTTAAATTTTGGCAGTACTAGAGTTTGAACTAAGTGTCTTGTTTTGGCTAAGTGAGGAGTCTACTGCTTGAGCCATACCTTTGTCCCTAAAACATCAGCTTTTTGAAGTATAACTTATATTCAGTAAAATTCAGCCATTTTGAGATAGAAGAGGTAATGGATCTTTACAAATATACACACTGAGGTAACCAATGTAAAGTGGTTTTAGTTTATTTGGGGAGGGGGGATGTTAGTTTTGAAGTTCTTTGTTATCTTAGAAGAGCTTCAGAAACTAACACTTTATTGGAATTTCTGTCACATTGAATAGTCTAAAAGGAAAATGGAACTTTGGATGTATTTCATAATCTTTACTTACCCTTTAAGAAAGTATGTAGGTGTGCTAGCATGAAGCTATTTGTCCTTTTTCATGTTGTTTCTCAGCAGTCGTATAGGTTTAGCTATTTAGCAGACACTAGTTGGTAATGGGAAAAGAATAATTAATTACTTCTTGTTCTTAAGGAACTGATAGTGAGGGGATACTTGGTTTAAAGTTTAATCAAAATACAAATAATTTATAACAAGATCTGTGAAGTATTTTTCTGGACATATTGCCTTTATTCCAATCACTACACCCTGACTTGGTAGCAGGGTAACTGAATGAGCATGGCTGCTCATTCAGTAAACTTTATAGCAGCTTAATTAGGAATTTCAAGAACAATAGAGGAGGTATTTAGAGGTTATCCTCTAGACCCTTAGCTTAATGTGATGTTTGGGTTTCTTATGGAAGAGAATTAAAAATATAACATTAAAAATAATCTTCAGCTAGGCTTAGTGGCTTATTTCTGTAACTCCAGTACTCATGGGTTAAAGCAAGAGGATTTTGGTGTGGAATCTAGCCTGAACTACATAAAGAGTTCCAGGTCAATCTGGGCTACATAGTAAAACCCTGTCTTAGTCTAGGATACATAATGAAACCCTGTCTCAAGTTTCACCTGAGGGAATTTCTATTTATTTAGTTTTTTTGTTTGTTTGTTTTGTATAGTCCTGGAGGACCTGGACACTTTTTAGTTTTTATGATCAAGGCTAGTGCTTTACCACTTGGGCTATAGCTCCACTTCCAGCTTTTGTGGTAGTTATGGAGATGAAAGTCTCGTGGGCTTTCTTGCTCCCACTAGCTTCAACCATAATCCTCAGATCTCAGCCTCCTGAGTAGCTAGGATTTACAGGTATGAGCCACTGGCACCTGGCTAGTTTATTTTAAGAACTAATTACAGGAAAAATGTTACAACTCTTTTTAGAGCTGATGAGAAGAACAGAAGAAAAGCCAGACAAAAACAGAAAAGATTTGCCCCTGTCATGCAGAAATCAATGAAAAATAATGTAGAAGAAAGCCAACTGAATGTCTTCCAAAAGGCCAGCACCACGTGTAGCCCTGACTGTAATAATTTGGGTATGCTTGATCTTTTCTGTTGGTGTAGTGGTAAATTCTGAAAACCCTTTATTTATTGTATATAATGTATGCAGTGTTATGTTCTTTGTTTTTTAATTCCGACACTATATAATGGATAAGAGGTTCCCTCTTCTCATTTTCCTCTGGGATCTGTTTTAGGAAAATGTGTCAAAGTGTTGCACCAAAAGGAGAGCTCACAAGATAAAAGTTGTTACAAGGATTTTATTTTTCTGTAACAGGGTTAAAGCAGGGAAGGGGATCTAGAAAAAGAGAAACATTTCCTGTTCCCCTTGTAGTCAATAGAAGTTAAATATCAAAAGAAGACAAAAAAAAATCTTTATAGTTTCAATGAATCTTTTTTTGTTTTTCTAGAATTTTAGCTCATTAACCATTTGCTAAGCTTATATTATGTTGGAGGGGGGCTACAATAGACTCCCCGAATTATATTTCTTTTTTTTCTTTTTTTGTCGGTTATGGGCTCTGAATTCTGGGCCTGGGTGCTGTCCCTCCACTCTTCAGCTCTACCACTTGAGCCACAATACCACTTCTGGCTTTTTCTGCTTATGTGGTGCGAAGAAATCAAACCCATGGCCTCATGCATGCAAGGCAAGCACTCTACCACTGAGCCACCTTCCCAGCCTCCCTGAATTATATTTCTTTGGCTTACTTCACAGTGTCTCTTGAGGAAGTATAGACCTAGTTAACATGGAAAGACTGCCATTAGTAAAACAAATGTACATATATAAAGGTCATCTACAATCATGAAATAGACAAAAGATGTAAGCCGGTTTTTCTGATATGTACCTTTCTGTCCAGGAAAGACCTTTTCACCGGAAGAACTGATTAGGAGTCTGATTTCTGACCCAGGTGGCTCTTACTTATGTAACAGGACAGTTCTTTTTTTTGGGGGGAGGGGGGAAGGGGTCCGGTCATGGGGCCTGAACTCTGGGCCTGGGCGCTGTCCCTCAGCTCTTCAGCTCAAGGCTAGCACTCTACCACTTGAGCCATAGCGCCACTTCTGGCTTTTTTCTTTTTGTTTATGTGGTGCTGGGGAATCAAACCCAGGGCCTCAGGCATGCAAGGCAAGTGCTCTACCATTGAGCCACCTTCCCAGCCCCACAGGACAGTTCTTGCTCACTATGAAGTTCCCTGAGTATATTCCATAGCCTGTCCTCACTTCTTCCCAGAGTCGTATATAGTTTTTGTTTTCTTTTAATTTATGGCCAGTTAAACTAAAAGTTTTGTTTTTTGTGTTTTTGGTCAGTCATGGGCCTTGAACACAGGTTCTGGGCGCTGTCTCTGACCTTTTTTGCTCAAGGCTAGCACTTCACCACTTTGAGACACAGTACCAAATCTCATGGACTTTCTTGCTTGGGCTGGCTTTGAACTGCAATCCTCAGGTCTCAGCCTCCTGAGTAGCTAGGGTTACAGGTGTGAGCCATCAGTGCTCCACTCTTAAGATTTTTGATGCTTTAGAGGACAGAGTAAATTTAGAACTTTCCTAAATATACTGTAAAGTTTGTTTTGCTCAAAAATTAAGTTAGCCTGGACTTATTTATACCTTGGAGTATTTAAGTGTACTGAAATAATTCCATATACATGAAAAAAGTATAAGAGCAATAACTAATTAAGTTAACATATAATTAAGATAATCAGTAATTTATCTATACAAATTAACTATATACTACTCTGCCTTAGGTGTATTAAACCAAAACAGTTATAAAACCATGGCTCTTCAGTTTTTTTAATGAAAAATAATTTTAGCAAAACCTTACCCTAAAATGATTATGTCTAGAACAACTGCTTTTCATTGTAATCAAATTGATAATGCATATAAGTGACATTGGAGTAGGCAGATAATATTTTTTAGATTGGCTCTCTATTGTAGAACAGCATCTTGTTGTGTTTTGTTTTAGGCAAAAATCTTTCTGTTGACTAGGCTAGTGAACTTTGATCCTCCTACCTCACCCTCCAGGATACTGGGAATACAGATGTAGCACATATTGATGCAAAGCAGCTTATTTTCTTACGCAATTATTTGTTGAAAATTCTTTTTTCACAGACCTGACTAATAAGCACAGTGAATTACCAGGAGCTACAGAAATAACTACTGGCTATAGTAAATGTCAAAATAAACCACCATTAAAACTCCTACATGATGGACTAAATAGTACTATTCAAAATGGAGGAAGATATGATTTATCTAATCAGGTAAGGTATTCCTGTACACAGATATTTCATGTGGTAATATAGTTCAGGAACATAACCAAAGACAAATTCTACTGAAGTATTAGTTTACATGACCAATCAAATTCAGAAATTGCAAGAGTAAAAAGGACTTTTGAGGGCTGGGTGTGACTCTAATGGTAAAGTACCTGTCTAATAAGCCCTGAAACCTAATTCCAGTACCTCTAAAGGAGAGAGGATTTATTTGAGATCTCAGGAATTGCTGTTCAGGAAACAGATACTGGTAGCTCTAAATCAGTGTTCCAGAGAAAATTGGGAAGGTGTGAACAATGGTGAGCCAAATGGTGGTATTTATAAGGTAGTAAAAATGATATTTTGAGAAAGTTGCTGTTACAGATGAGAACAGAGCAGTAACCAATCAAAGATTTTTAACAAAATATGTAGGTCTGGGGAAATAACAAAATAATAGAACATTTACCTAGCATGAGAAGAACCCTGGTTTTGTTAAACCTCTTCAGTCCCCCTGTCCCCCCGCCCCCCAAAATAAAAGTATATACTTAGTAAAAATGTCCATAGAACAAAAACCCAATAACTTTTTGTATTTTGACTGGCAGAATGTAATCTATTCTAGCTCTGCAGTCAGAGGTAACCAAAGTTTACATTCCTTGGCAAAGGTTACATTCCTTTGAAAAGGGCACTTTGATAAACTCATTCAGTAGCTTGTTGCTGGTGGCTCACGCCTGTAATCCTAAATACACAGGAAACTGAGATCCAAAGACCATGGCTCAAAGCCAGCCAGGGCAGGAAAGTTCATGAGACTCTTATCTCCAATTAACTACCAACAAAGCTGGAAGTGGAGCTGTAGGTCATATGGTAAAGCAGTTGCTCAGGTACAGTGCCCAGGCCCCGAGTTCAAGCCCCAGAAACAATACCAAAAAATCCCAGCAACAAAAACAAAAAATTCAGTGTTGTTTTCTTTGTAATTTTTCTTAATTGATTTCCTTAAAATGATAAGTAAATGTCATGATGCTTATTTTTCCTATTTACATGGAAAAAGTTTAGGCAACAATAATAAATATTTTAGCTCTTAGAGTAAAGCTTACTTTAAATAAGATATATTAAAAACCATTTGAAAAAAAACAGTATATTAAATCAGTAAAGGACTTGTATGAGATAGTAGAAATCTAGATGTTGGTTCTAAAGTTCAAGCTGTAGCAAAACGATTTGACAAATGAATAGCCTCCACTAAGGAAATTTGTAGACCCACAGATACCTAGCAGTTTGTATTCTTGATTGATACATGCTGTCAAAGTGCTTAAGATCATGTTCAGAGAGTAGTTGTTAAAATAAAAGCGAGTCATCTTTTTGTTTTGAAGAACTTAATTGGGAAGAAAGAGTACAAAAAATTGTCTTCAAAGAAAGTGAAAAACTGTGACGGAATAAATGAAAGGACAAGGAAAAGCCAGAAGCAAGGTAATAGATCTTTAATAGTGTTATAACTAGAAGCTACTACTTGAAATGCTTTTAATATGATCAAAGTAGTCATGTATTTCCTAATCTAAAACATTGAACTTAGATTTGTTATTTTTATAAAAAATGATTTGTATAGAAGATAAGTTTGTTTTTGTTTGTTCATTTTATTAATTTTTGCCATCCTAGAGCTTGAACTCTGGGCTTGGGTGCTGTTCCTGAGCTCCTTTTTGCTCAAGGCTAGGTCTCTACTACTTATGCCACAGTGCTACTTCCAGCTTTTTTTTTTGATTAATTGGAGATAAGAGTCTCACAGACATTCCTGCTTGGGCTGGCTTCGAACCACAATCCTCAGATTTCAGCCCCCTGAATAGCTAGGATTACTGGCATAAGCCAACGGTGCTAAAACTATTATTTTAAATGCCCCAAGTTCTTTATACCAAAATTTGAAGAACACTTTCTCTGAATGCTTCAAATTGAGAAATCAAGCATGCTGATACAACAGCAATCTGTTGTTCCAGCAACTCTGGAGGTAAGGGCACAGACAATTGTGAAATTATGGCACAGCCAAGGTGTAGTTATACCCCATCTCAAAAAAAAAAAAAAAAAGCTCACACTTGTAATCGTAGTTACTCTGAATGTTTGAAACCAGCCTAAGCAACCTAATTGGTACTAGAAGTATGGATCAAGTGGTAAAACACCTTCCTAACAAGCTTGACCTCTGAAGTTAAGCTCCAGTATCAACAAAAAGCAAACAAAATAGCAAAGGAAAATGGTAGGAACAAACTTTCATTTGAAGGCTTGAACTGTAGATAGATGATGACAAAAATCATTTGGAGGTGCTGGGAAGGTGGCTCAGTGGTAGAGCGCTTGCCTAGCATGCCTGAGGCCCTGGGTTCGATTCCTCACACCACATAAGCAAAAAGAAAAAAAAGCTGGAAGTGGCGCTGTGGCTCAAGTGGTAGAGCGCTAGCCTTGAGCTGAAGAGCTGAGGGACAGCGACCAGGCCCAGAGTTCAGGCCCACAACCGGACCCAAAAAAAAAACCCATTTGGAAATTTTTAAGTTACTTTTGATTAGTACCACTTTTCCATAAATCATAATTTAGACTTTTCTCCCCAGCATTCAGTATTATTCATGAGTTTTTTTTAATGTTGTTTACCTTACAGTGGCATGTATTTCATTATGGTGATTGGTGTGATCATTTAAATTTTATTAGTATTTATAATTACAATTGAATAACAGATGTAGAATTTCAGTTATTAGTTTAGTTTCTGGTTTCTAGATTTTTAAATTAGAAAACAGCTGTCATCTTAATTTCTTTCCTTAACTGACATGATGTAATACTGATTTGAAGTTGGTTGTTTTCAATTATTTCACCATGATAATTCACACAGTTTGGGGATATTCAGGGCTATCATTAGTGATGGTAGTTATGCCTTTACTGGTAGAACTCCACATTTTTCTGATTTCATGCTTAACCAGCCCAATTTCTGTTTCATACACATACAATCCATGTGAAGTAAAGTTTTAATGATCCTAATGATTTTCTAAGTCTAAATATTCTACCTCTAAAGAATTGGTTTAGCTGGGTGCTAGTAGCTCACATCTATAATCCTAACTACCTAGGAGGCTTGATTGTTGCCTGAGTAGGGAGCATCGCAGTTCAAAGCCAGCCCAGGCAGAAAAGTTTATGATACTTAACTCCAATTAACCAACTCCTAAACCTGAAGCGTGGTTGAGGCTCTATGTGGTAGACCACTAGCCTTGAGCACAAAAGCTCAGGGATAGTGTCTAAGCTTTGAGTTCAAGTCTCATGACTGACTCCCCAAGAACCCTAAAACAAAATTGACTTAACAAGTATTTGTTTAGTGTTTAGTGTACTCATGAAAGCCTACTAACATCTCCAAAACAAAAATACAAACATGTAAAATAAAATTTTCACCATTATTGAACCTTTTCCCAGTCTGGTTAAAAAATAAAAATGTGGGGCTGGGATGGTGGCTCAGTGGTAGAGCACTTGCCTTGCATACCTGAGACCCTGGGTTTGATTCCTCAGCACCACATAAGCAAAAAGAAAAAAGCCAGAAGTGGCGCTGTGGCTCAAATGGTAGAGCGCTAGCCTTGAGCTGAAGAGCTGAGGGACAGAGCCCTGGCTCAGAGTTCAGGCCCCACGGCGGACCCTAAATAAATAAGTAAATAAATAAACAAACAAACGTGTGTAATTATAATACAGCATATGTCAAAGAAATTTTAAAGTTTTCTGGAAATTTGAAGTGTGTTTCTTCAGTTGAGGGAATCAGAACAGTTCGTGGACTTTCCTGAATACAAGCAAAACAGGTGGTGATTTGATTTGGTCCTAAGTGAACAAAATTTAAAAAAGTTAAGAACTGAGCATGTTTTAGAAGTGATCTAATAGACAATAAAATATGGTTCAGATTTGAGGACAATGAAAGATCTGAATGGAAGCGAAGGCAGAAGAGCTCATAGAATACCAGTAGAATAGAATAAGTCATCAACAGAGAGAGAGAGAGAGAGAGAGAGAGAGAGTGTGTGTGTGTGTGTGTGTGTGTGTGTGTGTGTGTGTGTGTGTGTGTGTGTTGGGGCTTGAACTCACGGCCTGGGTGCTATTCCCGAGCTTTTTGGCTCAAAGCTAGCTCTTTACCAGCTCAAGTGCCAGCTTTTTATGGTTAGAGATAAGAGATAAGGACTTTCCTGCCCAGGCTAGCTTTGAATCTCAGATCTCACCTCCTGAATAGACGGGATTCTAAGTGTGAGCCAGCTAGACTCAGCTCCATCAAAAGATTTACATATACAATTATGTAATGTTTAGAACTCAAAGGGCAGTGATATGAAGAGACCTATGCTTTAGGAGGATTTAATATGGTAATAGGATATAATGGAATTTGTGTTGAAAAATAGCATATTTGTGAAAATATGTGTACTTATGTTTTTTTATATCTAATTTGCTGATTTTGTCTTACAAAATTTAAGAGAGAACTGAAGAATCAGTTGTTCCTATGGATATCCTAACTTCAAGAGAACAGGTCACAGATGACGAAAGAATGGGTGTCAGGACAAAAGAAGCTTGTATTTTAGTAACACCGCTGAAAACTAAAAATGCAATAGAAAGAAGATGCATGAAATATAATCTGTCTTCTGACACTATTAAAGCAGTAACAGAGTTTGTAGTACCAAAACATCATGAAAATGATTCATACTTAAATGAAACTGTAAGTCATGTCAGTAAGCCTGTAGGGACAGGGACTTCAGAAAATATATTTGAGTATAGTACAGGTTGTAAAAGTATGAGCAAGGAAGATTGCAATGTGGATCATTTACTCACTGTCAATCAGAAAATGATAATGCCTAGCTCTAAAAATGAAGAAGCAGTCACCATTGATGTTAAGAAAAATACCAAGTTGATATCAAAACTGAAGAAAATTGAAAACCAAGTACCTATGTCATCTTCCAATTATCAGCCCTCATCAGATTTGTCCAGTGAAGAAAGTGAAACAGAAAAGGAAATTAGAAGGAAAGCTGGGATTAAGAAAACTATAGAAGCCAACACCAAAGAAACATCAGTTCACCTAAGAAGAAACACAAGAGACCTCACAAAGGATATCCTACTGATTTCAGAATCTGAAACTGAGGAAAGTGAAACTGAATTTCATATCAAGCGAAAGAAAGCCAGGTCTTCTGCTAAAGGAACACTTTCGAAATCTACTGGTAGAAACAAGCCATCCCTAAACTGTTTACCAGGTTCAATTTATGATAAAGAATGGAATGAGAAGGAGTTGCAGACACTTCATTGGTAAGCACTTACATTTGACTCTAGAGTATTTATGGAGGGGCTACATAATAAAAGACATAAAAACAGAATGACTAATCATTATCAGTATAGTGATATAAATAGTGAGACTTTTGCTGAGACTGGGGTGATTCATTGTGTCTATTGCTGCCAATAAACTGGCCTGATATGAATTGAATTTAGCTATATAGACTTAATGAACAGTTTGAGTAATGTGGTGATATAGAAACCAGATTGTGATTGATGAAGAGTGAATGGGGGTAAAAAGATGAAGGCAGTTTAGGTAGACACTCCCAAGGGAATTGGTTAAAGGTGGGGGTAGTCAAAGACCGTGTGAGATACAGTGATATGTTTTATTACTTACTTGCTTATTGGTAAAGTAGTAGATTCCAGAAGTGATAATCTAATAGAAAAGGAATGATGAGAAAAGAACTCGGAAATATTCTACACTTTTCCAATCCCTAGGTGCCCATCTATCTACATAACATTGGGAATTTTTTTCTTTCTCTTCCCTTCTTTTATTTCTCTTTCATCTCACTCCTACCTTCTCTCTCTTTCTTCTCATGTGTGTGTGTGTGTGTGTGTGTGTGTGTTGAGGGGGAGCGCCTAAGTAGCCTTGAACTTCCAGCCTTGTGTGTGTGTGTGTTGAGGGTGAGCGCCTAAGTAGCCTTGAACTTCCAGCCTTCCATCTTTGCCTCCCCAGTGCTGGAATTACAGGCATGTACTATGACACCTGGCTTCAGATCACCTGGTCCAGGGTTATAGCGTGAACTCAGGACCTTAAATTCTTCCTCAGTTTTTTCTGCTTATATCTAGCACTCTACTGCTTGAGCTACATCTTCATTTCTGGCCTTTTGCTGGATGAGGCAAGAGTCTTAAGGATTTGTCAGTCTGAGCTGTTTTCAACTGTGATTCTCACATTTTATTCTCTTGAGTAGCTAGGACCATAGGCCTGAGTCAGTGATTCCCAGCAAATTGTGTTATGTGTTTGTTTTTGGTGGTGCCTTTTAATTCAGGGCCTTATGCTTGCTCTACCACTTTAGCCACTTTTTTTAGCCTTTTTTGACGGGGTGAGGGTGGCCGGCCATGGGGCTTGAACTCTGGGCCTGGGCGCTGTCCCTCAGCTCTTCAGCTCAAGGTTAGCACTCTACCAATTAAGCCACAGCGCCAGTTCCCTCTTTTTTCATATCTACTTTGTTCTTAAAGTATTTCTGTGGTCCATCTTCTTGACAATATTCCTTTCAGACTTTTGAATCTTTTGCCTGACTTATGGTAATAGCACTGTATTTGTATTTTTATTTTGGGCTGGATAACCTGTTTGATATATCTCTAGATTAAATACATAGCTGTCATTCTAGTACATCTAAAATCCTCACTGCATTTCTTTGTAGTCTTCAAGTTTTCTAAGATTCCACCCTCATAATGAGAGCAGCCTATGTTATGCTTTTATCTTTTCTAGCTATATCTAGTACCATTTCCTTCTAATAAAGCTTTCAATCTTTTCTGAATGTTAGATCATCTAAAGAGATTTAAATATGCCCATACAACAAAGACTTTACTTTCTGTTAAGGTAGAATAAGTACATTCCATTGGTTCTTCTATTGTGCTACTTACATAAAATCTAGGCAGAATACATGGCGAAGGTTTTGGGGTTCCCCACCCCCTTGCTGTTACTGGGGTTTGAGGTCAAGGTCTTCCCTTGCTGTGAGTTCCGTCTCCGGAACCATGTCCCCAGACCTTTTTGCTCTGATTACTTTTCAGTCTCACTTTTTTGCCCAGGGCAAGCCTCAGATCTCAATCCTCCTATTGTCCTATATATCTCAGTTCTGAGAGTGCACCATCAAGACTGGCTTATTGGTTAAGATGGGGTCAAGCTAACATTTTTTGGCCTGGGCCCAAACTGGAATCCTCTTAATTCTGCCTTCTGAATAACTTGGATTACAGGAGTGCCACTACTGTGCTTGACCTAGTGCACATTTTCTTAATTTTGGGAAGTGAGTCTGTAACGTTAAGGTACCATTAAACCATTGGGGAATTCCTATTTTTTTGCTCTTCATCCCCAAGCTAGAATGAAAGCTACGAAAAATCTAGAAAGTGAGTATTGAGGCAAAAAGAAGTCAAGTTGAAGCTGAGGTTGAGGAGTAGGGAAAGAGGGCCCATTAACAATCAGAATAGAGAAAAATCCCAATGCATTTTTCAATCCAGTCTTCTTGTAATTCCACAGGGGCTACAATCAGGATGGATATGCAACCACTACTACATATTTTGTCTAACAGTATTTGAAATAGAGACATGATGTAATTAAGAGAATAGTGTTAGTGCAGGTTGAATACTCCTGTGAAAAATCCAAAATGCTCCCAAATACAAAACTTTACTTTTTGAGTGCTGACAAATTCCACAAGTGGGAAGTCCACACTTCACCTCATGCGATGAGTATACACAGGTACACTCATAATTATTATGTAAAGTTACCTTTTGGAGAAGTTTGTGACTCCTTAGTAGATTGCTTACCTAGCGCATGTGAGACCCTAGGTTCAATCTCCAGCTCCACAAAAAAAAAAAAAAACTCACCAGTTACTCTGATCTAAAATGTATGGGAAATAGATTTGATGGAGACTTTGATCCCATCCCTAAGATACCTCATTGTGTTGTACATACAAAGGTAATAACATGTGAGAAAACAAACACTTTCGCTCAGATTTCAGATTAGAGTTATTGGGACTAATTGGTGAGTTAAATGACGTTTCAACTAGAAATTTCTTGCTGAAATGTCATTCTCACTCCACTATAAAACAATCTTTCTTTGGAAAGGAGATGGAAATATGTTATCCTGGATCCTAAGTATTTAAGTCAATTTTCATGTTCATTTGGGAACTTTCGTATAATTTTAGTTCTTGTTTCCTTACACCAAAAGAGTATCTTTCTAAAACAGTGACTTCTATGATTAATAGTAGATTACAATCAAACATTAAATTGAGGAGGTTTTTTAGATAAAGAATGCTCAGCCTGGGCTGGGAAGGTGGCTCAGTGGTAGAGTGCTTGCCTTGCATGCATGAGGCCCTGGGTTCGATTCCTCAGTACCACATAAGCAAAAAAAAAAAAAAAAAGCCGGAAGTGGCGCTGTGGCTGAAGTGGTAGAGCATTAGCCTTGAGCTGAAGAGCAGAGGGACAGTGCCCAGGCCCAGAGTTTGGGCCCCACGACTGGACCAAAAAAAAAGAATGCTTAGCCTTTATCTTCTTTAGTCATAGATATTTAAAGAATTCACTGTGCTAGTCCCATACATGCACACATCATGTATTGACTACCCTTCTACCCTCCTAAGTCTAAGACTTTGTGATCAATAGTTTATAACCTGGATATATAAGAACTGAGAGTTTATCTTCTGGTATGCTTTAGATTGAGATTTGAAAAACAGTGGATAAAAACTATACAAGAATTCAAAAGATTAAACCTTGTATTTAGAAGGAAAAAAAATGTTGAAATAGGAAAAAAAAAATTCAGGTTTAGTAAAACAACAAAATAGTTGGAAGATACCTATTGGGAACATAAAATTTTATCTTCATATTTTAAGTAGAAAGTTACTGAGTTACTGGGTCTTTTCCAAAAATAGTTGTCTAGAATACTTTTAGCAAAATTCCTTGAGCCCGGTAAGTCTCATTGACTCACTGCTTTCAGGTTTTTCCTTATTTTAATTTCTTGTTTTTAAACTGTTTTATTCTTCCATAGTGCTTTTGCATCTCTTCCAAAACACAAACCTGGTTTCTGGACAGAGGTAGCTATGGCAGTAGGTACTCGAACTGCTAAAGAATGCCAAAGGAAATACATGGAAGATGCCCAAGGCAAAGGATCCAGGAAACAGGTCATTAAGAAAACGCAGGCCAATTCCAAAGACCAACATGGTAACCATTGTACACTGAGTACTCAGTGCACATTTCTGATCTCTCACTAAGAATAATTAATATTTATCCATCAGTCTTTTGTTGGTCATGGGGCTTGAACTCTGGGCCTGGACGCTGTCCTAGAGCTCTTCACCTCAAGGTGAGAGCTCTACCACTTGAGCCACAGCACCACTTCTGGTGATTAATTGGAGATAAGAGTATCATGGACTTTCCTGCCTGAGCTGGCTTTGAACCACGATCCTCAGATCCCAGCCTCCTGAGTAGCTAGTATTACATACATGAGCCACCAGGTGCCCAGTTTATCCATCAATCTTGTTACAAGTATTTTCTGAAAATAGTAGAAATGACTTTAGAGAACATCTGTTTAAAGTCCTAAGCAAAGGTTATGACACAGCTTAATAACCTTGTGTTATGAATTTGTTCTAGGAAATCTGATAAAGTATACAAAAACCTCATGGTCTAATTTTTCTTGAGACCACTTAGTTGGGGCTCCCTATGAGAAAACAAATTTAGTTTTTGTTGACCCAGCATTTATGCCAGAGATAACCCATTAATAAACTTTAGAATACCCAGTATCTCTCCTATAATTACTGATATTTATATTTTAGCACAATCAATAAATCAGGCATTTAGTACTACAGGTGTGAGAAATAGACTTTCTGACCTCACCTTACCTGTATTAATGTAGTTTCTCCATGAGTATCATGTATGCTAATTATGTTGCATAGTTCTTAATGTTGAATCATTTATTATATAAGAATGTTTAAAGTCGTTTTTTTTTTCCCTGCTGTTTCCTTGGCTTGAATACAGAGCTTCATGCTCTCTGTGAGCCATTTCTCCTGGTTAACTGAAGATAGATTTTTGGACTTTTCAAACTAATATCTTCTGATCTTAGCCTCCTGAGTATTAAAGGCATGGAGAATTCTTACTTTATAAAACAGTTATATGTAAATGATCAGATCTGTATTAGAACTGTCTTGAGGCTGGGCGCTCACTAATGGCTTGCACCTTTAATGCTAGCTACCCCTAGACTCTGGAAGCTGCTATCTGAGGATCTCTTTGTTACAAAGTCAGGCCACATGAACTAATCTGAGAGAGATTTTTATTTCCAGTTAACAAGCAAAAAGAGTGGAGGCTGAGCACTGGTAGCTCATGCCTGTAATCCTAATTACTCAGGAAGTTGAGATCTGATGATCTTGGGTCAAAGACAGTCCAGACAGGAAAGTCCATGAGACTCATCTCTAGCCTTGAGGAAAAAGTTCAAGAACAGCTTCCAGCCCCTGAGTTCATGCCCTGTGACTGACCACAAAAAACAAAAATGGTCAGAGTGGAGGTATAGTTCAAGTGATAGAGTCCCAGCCTTCAGCAAAAATGCTAATAAGCAAGAACATGAGGCTTTGATTTCAAATTCTAGAACTGGCACCAAAAAAAAGAATGTCTTGAATCTTAAGGTCAGAGGAGCAATGCTGCTACAAAGCCAAATGTTCAGATAACTGCCAAAGTGGGAACTCTTCAGCGGAAACGACAAATGAGGGATTTTCTGGAACATTTGCCACAAGATAACCATGATGATTTTTTCACTGCAACTCCTTTGCAGAATCGAAGAATACTGGTAAGATTCTCAATGCATGAAACCTTTGATTTCTCTGTAGTGATTTCCATATCTTTTGTTTATCTGATTTTTTTTCTGACAGATTAATTCTATCCAGAAGAGTTCATCCTAAGAAATTCAGAAATCCAAAAATCTTTGTAAAGAAAAATCTTTACAGCAAAAATGTCCAAAATATTTTTCATAAACAATGAAATACAGTATATATTGAGAGCATATTAAAGACTTTCTAGATTGTAAATGTTTAGTGTATTAAGATTGAAGTTTCATACAAATATGGAGATTTTGGAAACTCAAGTATTTAAATTGAAAGAACTAAATTAAACTTATAGTAAGCTAGACTCGAGCTACCAGTTTCTTGATACTGGCATCAAATAATCTTCAATTTATGAAGACTATCTAGTATAGAGTTTGGTAACATGACCTTCTTTCTTCCTTGTGCTTTGACTAATTGGTGGAAGTATTTTAAGATAACCATCTGAGGCAACTTATTTTCCTTTACAGTGCCAACATCCTTCAGAGTTGAACCCTTTATCTTATTGCACCACATTTAATACTCTAAGATGTATGTTTGGGATTAAATGCAATAACAACATTAAAACTTAAGAGATAGAAAGCCAAGCTAGGGATGGCAGCACATAGCTTTAATTCCTACACTGGGAGGCTGAGGCAGGAGGACTACAAGTTCACCAAAATTATGTCTTAAAAGTACAAAAAAAAAAAAAAAGCTGGGCGCTGGTGGCTCACGCCTGTAATCCTAGCTACTCAGGAGGCTGAGATCTGAGGATCGTGGTTCAAAGCCAGCCCAGGCAAGAAAGTCTGTGAGACTCATTACCTCTATTTAACCTCTAGAAAACCAGAAGTGACACTGTGGCTCAAGTGGTAGAGTGCTCACCTTGACCTAAAGAGCTCAGGGACAGCACCCAAGCCCAGAGTTCAAGCCCCACAACTGAAAAAAAAAAAAGAAAAATCTTCCAAAGTAGTGGGATTGGCTTATTTTCTATGACTTATGTCCACTTTCCCTGTTTTGTTTTTTTTTTCTTGAATCTTTAAGACAAGATCGGGCTTGCTGTTAGCACAGGTTTCCTCAAATTCATAGCCCTGAGCCACAGCCTCCTGAGTGTTGAGGTTACAGGCAAAAACCACACCTGGCTATTTTTACCATAAAACAAAGTGCTACTTTTTGCATGTGCTTTGTGTCCAGTAAAACTGCATACATACATACAGAAGGAAGGTGAGGTTTGTGTTCTCACTTCCAGCCCCTCGGCCCAAACATTCCTACCTGGAGCAATGTGATGGGCTCTGGACATCTGGTGGTCCAGGGTGAAACTGAGGGACAGGCAGTCTTATAGAAAGAACCTATTACCTCGTTATTGTTTCATTTTTATTGTGTTAACACCTAAGGTCAAATTGTGTTAAATTTAGGCCTTTACCTATTTATAAAAGCAAACTTACTAGAATACTCTATGCCCATTTATTTGCATGTTGTCTATTGCAACTTTCATATTGCAATGACAAGTTGAGTAACTGGGACAGAGACAGGATTGGCTTTACAGAAAAAAATTTTTTGCTTTTGATCAATAACTCTTCAGAAATAGGTTTGAGAAAAACAAAGGAGGGGGTAACAATGCTCGACAAGAGATGTACTCATTACCTTACTCATAAACTGTAACCCCTCTGTATGGCATCTTTACAATAAAAAAAGAACCTCAAAATAAAAAAAGCTAGGTTTAATTATCTTCATTTTGCACAAGACAAATTTGTTGTTGTTGTTAAGTAAATAAGGTTCTGGAATCTATTACTGTTTTTAATTATCTAATTCCAAAAACAGAAGGAAAACAATTTAGCCCACCAAAAAACATTGTGCTAGTGAGAAAATTTATTTTTATGGGTGCCTGATAAAAGAATTTGTTTTATAGTTGCCAAGCTTTCAGTACAGTGAAGATGATGAGTCTCTCCCAAGTATGGACAAAAATCCAACAACTCCATCATCAACTATCTTTCCACTGGCAAAAACTCCTCAGTGTCAACATGTCAGTCCTGGCATGCTGACCTCTATAAAAAGGTAACCATGCAAGTGCTTTTCACTTTCTATATCAACATATTGAGGAACTTTTTAACATTTTGTGAATTGGTCAATAGAGGTGCAGTAAAGGGGAAAAATGAACCATTAGTTTTTGTTTTTGTTTTTTTTGGGGTCCAGTCGTAGGGCCTGAACTCTGAGCCTGGGTGCTGTCCCTCAGCTCAAAGCTCAAGGCTAGCACTCTACCACTTAAGCCACAGCGCCACTTCGGCTTTTTTCTTTTTGCTTATGTGGTGCTAAGGAATCAAACCCAGGGCCTCAGGCATGCAAGGAAAGCGCTCTACCATTGAGCCACCTTCCCAGTCCGAACCATTATCTTAAAGTTAGGATGGAAAGGTTTGGCATGTTAGATGCTGGTATTCAATAGATGGACCTGGAAGAGAAACTGACATATTAGGATAAATTCAAAATGGATTGGATTGGTTTTACATGTAAAAATTCAAAGCATGAACCAAATCAACTTTGGAGAAATCTTGGATTAAAGTGTTTCTAACAGATGCTAAACCCACAAACCACCAAAGAGGTGGTAATTTTGTAAGTTTTACATGGTTACCAAAAATGATTGAAAGACAAATAATCTGAGAAAATAATGTAATGCAATTTATCACAGGTAAAAGGTTAACTTCTCTGGTAAATTTACCTCTTCTGCAAACTAAGAAGAAAACAAGTCTTTTTCATGGATCATCAATATTAATGTTATAAACACATACCCTTTGACCCAGAAACCTGCTTCTAGAATTATGAATGTGTAACCAATTCATCAATACAGTGACAAAGCTCAAATGTCCATCTAAAGATTATAATTAAATCCTATACCAATAAAAATTGATGCAGTTGGGCACCGGTGGCACACGCCTGTAATCCTAGCTACTCAGGAGGCTGAGATCTGAGGATCACGGTTCAAAGCCAGCCAGGCAGGAAACTCCATGAGACTTTTATCTCCAATAAACCACTAGAAAACTGGAAGGTGCTGTAGCTCAAGCGGTAGAGCGCTTGCCTTGAAGCGTGCAGGGACAGAACTCAAACCCAGAGTTCAAGCTCCACTACTGGCCAAAAAAAAATTGATGAGATTTATCACCACTATATGTAAAATATCCAAGGTGGATAAAAAAAAAGTGCTAGTGTGTTGAATAATGTCCTACCTATTCTTTGTGTAAATAAAGGCTGTATAGTGAGATATGAAGATAAATTTGGTTTTTTTGAGACAGGGTCTTGCAACATACCTCAGGCTGGACTGGAACTTGCTCTGTAGTCCAGGTTGGCCTTAAATTCTTAATTCTCCTGCCTCAGTTTCCCAATTGCTGGGATTACAGGTATGAGACACCAGGCCTGGCTGTGTATGTTTGGATGTGCACATACATAGGCTTTATTACACACTTCTGAAAAGATAGGTAAATTGAAAAACTGATGATCCTTAAGTAGAAGAACTAAGATACCAAATGGTGAATGATTGGGAGACTTGCATTGTGAACTTTGTGGATATAGGCACTATGAAAAACAAATGAAGGGAAAATATTATGAGAGTGGCTAACAGTCAATATCAGAAAAAAGACAAAGCAGAAGAATAAGGCCTGAAAATAAGCTATTCTGCTTGGTAATTCAGAAAGGTATGTGCTGATCTTAAAAGAGCAGTTTCTGTAGTGTGAGAAGCAGACGCCAAAAGATGACAGGAAAAAAACTAATATTTCCAAGAAGCTTAGTAAAAGTTTAATTTGTACTTATTGGAGAAGAAAAATTGCCTTGCAATCCATCAATTATTCAGGTAAAAGTGTACACAGTACACTTTTGGGCAAAGTTGATGGTAAAAACCTTGGTCAAATCATTAAAGGCTTTGAAGTAGAATTTTTGTTTGTTCTCAGTAAAAAGTTTATAGATAAGTATGTAGGACCAAAGATATCATTAACAATAGGACTAGAAATATGAAAATAGTCTCAGAGTCCAAAAGTAAGGTAAACATTACCTATCAGAAAAATAACGTAAGAATCCTATTGTTGGATATCATGAATCCCTATAATCCCAGCAGTAGGCAGAGATGGAATCTTAATGTATTAACAAGTCTTTTTTTTTTTTTTTTGTCCATCGTGGGGCTTGAACTCTGGGCTTAGGTGCAGTCCTTGTGCTCTTCAGCTCAAGGCAAGAGCTCTACTGCTTGAGCCACAGCGCCACTTCTGGTTTTCTAGTGGTTTATTGGAGATAAGAGTCTCAGGGACTTTCCTGCCCAGGCTGGCTTTGAACCATGATCCTCAGATCTCAGCCTCCTGAGTAACTAGGATTACAGGCGTGAGCCACCAGCACCCGGCCACAAGAGTCTTTTATGAGGTGCTTATTCCTAAACAGCTGGCTAGGCCGGTGAATTTCTTAGAAACTTGGTAACAACTGGCTAGTTTACTCATTTGATAGCAGTATCTGTGATTCAGATAAATATCTGCATACAATCACAGATTACACTTTTCTGTGTCAGTAAGGAAAAAAGGTGAGATAATCAGAAAGCAACGCAAAATTTCTTAAAATATTCTTATTTCCTTTACAGTGTTAAAATGAAAATAAAATAAAAAGGTTGATTGAGCCAGGTGCTGTTGGTCATGCCTGTAATTCTAGCTGGATCAAGCAATATGAAGGGAGCTTAGCCAGTAAAGTTCAAGAGACTCCACTCTAATTTACTTGATAAAGATTTAAATAAAGCAGATTTAGATTTTATCAATTGCTATTCAACTTACAGATAAAAGTATTAGATAGCCGGGATCATGCCTATAATCCTAGCTTCTCAGAAGACTGAATCCTGGAGTATAGAGCTTTGAAGCCAGCCCAAGCATACAAGTCTGAGCAAGTTTTATCTCCAATTCACCAGCAAAATGGAATAAGCTTAGCTCAGCTGGTACAGCACCAGCCATGAGCAAGCAAGCTAAGCTAGAACAAGTTATGCCCCAAGGTCAAGCTTATGTACTGGTGAAAAGGAAAAGAAATATGTCTGACAGTTAATATTGACGACATTGTTTTCTATTCAAACAGGGATGATTGTGATAGGTATGTTTTTCATATGCAAAAAACTAATAGAAGTCATGGTGGCATTGTCTGGGGCAAGGTTAGGAGAAAAACAGTAAGTATTTTTATTCTTATGTAAATAACACTATTTTTATAGAACAAATATGAGAAGTTATGGTAGTAACCAAAAGTCTCTGCTCTGAAGGTACTTAAAACCTAATGTATGTAAATTCTTGTAAGGATTGATTTACAGGTGGCTGATGAGAATGAGTCAAATGTACATTTGTAAAGTTAGTGTGGAAGAATCTTTGAGAAGGATAATGGGGATGAGTTGAGGGAGAGAATACGCTTGTCCCCTGAAAATACTTTCTCAATCTAAATATGGCCCTCTCTTTTTCTCCTACATTCATGTAACATTTACCTTGCAAACTGGTGAGGGTATAATTTCTTAGGTAATCTCTAAAATTTAGGATTGTATAATGTCTTAGGGTTCATTTGTATATGAGAAGTGTCTCTGGGGACTCAGTTCTTCAAAAGATACTGTGATTCCATGATAGAACCAACCAAGCATCTCAGTAATCCTTAAGATTCTCTTTTTGTAATCTCTCATTCTTTAATGAGAATGAAATTTTGGTTTCCTACAGAGGAATTGGAGTTAATATACTAAGCTAGTTTATTAAGGTAAATAGGAATTAATATAGTAACAAGAGTCCAAAGATTAGGTTTCTAGTTTCTGCTTTGCAACCCAGTAAGCTGGGTTACTTTATCAGGCACTCTGACACAATAAATTTGACATTCTGTAAATCTAATAGCTCCAGGTGATGTTCCTGCTGCTAATTCTGCTATAGAGCACAGCAACATTAATATAGTCAATTTTTCTCCACAAAATGAGGAGAGGTTGATAAGGATGATAAGAGTCTTTTCTTGGGTCATCTTCATTCTGGGCTTTTGTTTTCCTTAGTGTAGATTATAATTTAAGCAATCTACCAAACTGTATTCATGATTTAGCCAGTTTTCTTAGCGTAATGTTTTGTAGACAGTGTGCATCTCACAGGGATTAAATTTACTTATAGGACCTTGGACATGTTTGTATCTGTAGTTATTTTGATTATAAAATGTGCTTATATTTTTAATTAGCTCAGCTTATTGATGACCTAAGTGCTTAGTACATTTTGGCAACTTAGCTTATTGTATTTTTTATAGTAATGTTTTTTATAGTAATGTTTGCCAGTAATGGAAGACAACACTGAGTAAGTCCCAGGCTTTTCCCTGGATAAGCTTAGAAAAGAATTAGGCATTTTATAGAACTATGAAGTGATTAGATGATGTTATACTTTTATTTTTGGAATACCTGGGAGATAAAGCATACTTAACTTTGGGAGGTACTACTTTCGCTGTTAATATATGAACTCTTTTGTAGGTTGAAACTGATTTCCCAACTGTACTACCAAGAGAAACCACCTTTAACAAAGGTAATATATTTCTTTTGTAGCTTAATTCTTTTACAGGTAACCAATTTGTTTAGATGATATTAAAATTAACTAGCTTTCACTTAACCAGACCAACTTACCATTTAGTTCCTTGCAGTTTAATTAAAATTACTTGGGAATTAATCATTTCTATTCAACTTCTCTTTACAGATTTAGGAGAAAACTCAGGTATTGGAAAACTATTCATTAATGGTATGGAATCTTCAGATGAAGAAGAGAAAGATTACTATTTCTCAAACTGTGATTCGTAGTAAAAAAAAAGAGAAAATAGGATTTCCAGGATTTTTACCATGAAGTTGATAGTGTATTTGTAACTTCATTTAGAGCATTAGGTTTTCTTTGTAACATAGCTTCATGTGAAAATATGGGCTGTCTGCACATTTTCATGTTTGAATTCAAAGTAAAATATAGAATATTCCTCAGTGCTCAGCTTACTAGAAATGGAAGGAACACTTTTGCTTGTATAGATACTTGTAAATTTTTTGTAATATTAAAATAGTTCTCTCTTATGAGCTTCTAAGTCTGTTTACTTTAACAAAATCACTTCCCAAGTACATTTTAAATGTTTTCAAGAATATGTACTACCCTTAAGTGGGGGAAGGAGGGTAGAGGGATGGAAGAGGTTGGGTTAGGAGCTAATGAAAACTTTTAGCATTTGCTGCTACCTGATACTACAAACCACATTGACTTAATGCTTAAATTATATACTGTTCAAACTATTTAACTTGTTCCTCCCTTGTCTTTCTTAAACCTTTTGATTGATTTATCTACAAAACCTATGTAAATTTAATTTATTGCTTTTTCATTATCTTATTAGGTGGAACCAGGAAATATATTGTATGGCATTCTACAACCTAACATACACTGCAGCAATAATTTAAAGATTAGACCAGATTAGAGAAACATTCACTTAATCACGCTAAGGAGTCAATTTTCTGTCATGTGGACATTATCCTTTCAGTGGCAGCTGTTTTATGAATAAGGTTTTTTGTTTTTTTAGCTTTTTCTGTTTTAAAACTTGACAAATCATTTCTCTTCTCCTTACAGTAGACTTCACTTATTCTTTCCTTAGTTATTTTTCAAATAAAGCTATTTAGCTTTTATAGTATTTGTTTCTGGATTGTTTGATTTATTAAGACATACATTTTGTTATTGATCCTATTAAAGTATACTCAGAAAACACTGTACCTTTAGTACAGAAACACTTTTTCAGTAAGAAACACTTTGTTTCTTATGAATTTAGTAATAGCAGTTGTTTAACTACAGGATTTATAGCAGTGAGATTTGAACAGAATAGTTCAATTGGACTAAGATCCTCCTTTAGCCACCAAGCATTTTGATAGTTATAGGATAGGTACAAAAGGAAAGGTTATGTTACAGTGACCCTTAAAAATACTACTGTAAAAAAAATACTACTGTAGGGCTGGGAAGGTGGCTCAGTGGTAGAGTGCTTGCCTCGCATGTAAGAGACCCTGTGCTCAATTCCTCAGAACCACATAAACAGATAATGCTGGCAGTGGTGCTGTGGCTCAAGTGGTAGAGCACTAGCCTTGAGCTGAAGAGCTGAGGGACAGCACCCAGGCCCAGAGTTCAGGCCCCCCCAACTGACAAAAAATTATATATTGTATAACTTGAGTTGCTAATCTTTGGTATAATATTGTACTGCCTGAGGTTAGTGTTTTAGTTTAAAAGTTTTAGAAGTTTAGAAAGTCGCATAGCAATTTTGAAATCCCATGGATTTGACCCAAACTATCGCTTCCTATGTCCTATCAGAACAACTTCAGTGTCCTTCCTGTTCCTGTATGCCACCAACCAGTACAGGGCACTGTGAAGTTGTAGAGGGACTGTATTTTAACAGCACCATTCTTAGAGCACCATCAGAAAGTCATCACCCTCTCTTCTATACCCTCCTCCCCCCGCCAGTAAAGATGAAGACTAAGTGACGAACATTAAGCAGGTGGCAGCACACACTGGAGCCATTAAGAAATTCTCTCCGCTTTCTCAAAAAACAGCATCATGTTCACTGTAAAGGAGAAATGCTGTTAAAATAAAAATATCCACTCGCTACAGCCAAACAGATACTGAGACTGAGTGAATTTCTTTCTGATTTTGATAGAATTTTTGGATAGCAGGTAAGAGATCAGTTGCATTTAGAAGAGTGTATAATCTCAGAGGAGAATAGAAATACAATATAACTTTTCTGTGTTCACCTTCATTAGTACAGTGGAAAAAGAACTGTATGTAGTCCCACCCAGAGCTCTGGGTCTAAATTTGAATAAATCACTTTTGTCACAAGAAGGAAAAGGGAAATTTACATTAGATGGGTTCTGAGTTATTGCCAGGTCTAAGGTGAAGCTGTGACTGATTCACTGCCCAACAGTGTATCAGGAGAAAGGACAGAGGACCAGGAAAGGGTGGCAGCAGTCAGGGACACTATTATGCCTCACCATTTTTTACTTTACCTTCAATAGTACTCTTAACTGAACCTTGATTTACTCAATTAAAAGATTAGTTAAGTAATCTAGGCAAAATGATTCAACATCAGATGTTTCCTTTAGAGTAATTTATATAAATAAAAATATACAGTATTAACATTTTACATGATAAACTCTTATTTACATATTTTAGTCCAATACAAACCACAAGTGATGACTGTAGTGCGTTTAGTATTATGAAAAATTCTCTGATAATCACATCTTGAGTGGTCTGATCACAGGTCAGATTTCAGTCTATCTTGGTTAAGATCTTTTGGTAACATTTGTATATCAAATTCATAGTGAATATATCTATAGATCTCCTCGGCTTTTTGATGAGTTACTTGTGCATACGTGGAGAGTTCTTTGGGTGAGCTGAAAAGTAAATTAGACAAAGAAAAGCACACTTTTTATGAAACTGAATATTCTTACCCTACCTAACGAATACCACTTAATAGCCTTTAAGAAAATCCTATCTTCCCAAGCATTGTAAATGGAGTTGGTTTGTCTTTAGTATTAATTTCAGTAAGGTCCAAATGCTTTCCTTTAAGATCTTATGCAATAACAATGATTTCAACCTCTGCAATGGATTAAATATTCCCTCCAATCTTTTTTTTTTTTTTTTTGGGTCCGGTCGCGGGGCCTGAACTGTGGGCCTGGGCGCTGTCCCTCAGCTCTTCAGCTCAAGGCTAGCGCTCTACCACTTGAGCCACAGCGCCACTTCCGGCTTTTTTCTTTTTGCTTATGTAGTACTGAGGAATCGAACCCAGGGCCTCAGGCTTGCAAGGCAAGCACTCTACCACTGAGCCACCTTCCCAGCCCTCCCTCCAATCTTGTAATGCCAATAAATGTGATGGTGTTACACAGTTCTAGAGCAGTTCAAGGCCTTGCCCTTACTAGGCAGGTATTTTACCACTTGAACTGTATCTCCAGCCCCATGCAACAAATCTTTAGTTAATAACAGCCATTATACCTCAATTTTAAAAAAAACTTTATGAAAGGCATATAAGGATCATTTTAAGATATAATAATCATTTTAAGATAAAATAGACATACCTGTTGGCCATCTTTTTCACAGATGAAAATTGGTGGCACATATTTAATGCAGTTATGTAACTTATGTTGGGAATACTTAAATAAAACTGAAGTGCATCACATGCTTTAGTATTCACTGCTGGAACATGAATGCCAACGTTCTTTCTGTGTTCCACTGAAGAAAGTTCCTTTAGCAAATGTGCAGTTTCTTCTTGGCCACAACTGAAAAGAATTCGGATTCCTGCACCAACTAAAGCCGTTAGCAGACTGTCATAGCTCTTTGTTCTTCTAAACAGCCTTGATGTGTCTCCTAAGCATTTTATAATTAGGGAAGTGAAAAATTTAAAACATGAAGTAGTAATTCAAACACTCTAGACTATCAGAACTCTAGTTTCTATAGTACCTCAGTTAACTAGTGCCACATTGTATGAATAAGAAACCTTACAGCTAGATTTTGTTTTTGTTTTTGTTGGTCATGGAGCTTGAACTCTGGGCTTAGGCACTATTCATATACTCTTCAGCTCAAGGCAAGTGCTCTACCGCTTGAGCCACAGCACCACTTCTGGTTTTCTGGTGGTTAATTGGAGAGAAGAGTCTCATGGAGTTTCCTGCCTGCACTGGCTTTGAACCATGATCCTCAGATAGCCTCCTCATTGGCTCAGGGTGAGCCACTGGCGCCCAGCTCCTTACAGCTAGTTTTAAAGTGACTATCAAACGTGAGAAAATAAGGAGAACTCCCTTTTAGGGGTCTTGAACTGAGACCAACACAGAGTAAACATGGACAGTTTATATTTAAAGCTTGAGGTTTCGTTTCTGAAGAGCAAGAATATGTTAATTCACTTAATTTTTCATGCTAGCACTGATGAAAAGCTCATTTTAAGTACTGGTTTAAATGATCTTATGTAATCCAAAGACTAAGTGAATGTCATCATCTCATTAGTTCACTTACCTAACTTCCCTGTGTATGTTCTTTTCCATATTCCACTTACATCTCTTTTCTGGCAATCCTTAATACAACTACTCCACAAAAATATTTTTCACAACTTCTACCCTATTACTCTCTGTTCTAAACAATGTCCTTTTGCTCTCACTCCTCAAATCAAATCACAAGAATAAGAAACCATGTATACCTGTACCTAGCCCTTGGCTGAGACAGGAGGAAAGGGAGTGCCAAATTTGAGATACCAAAACACAAAAAAGGAGAACAAGAATTTTTTGGAAGCATAGCAAAGTACATATGGAAAATGCTAATGCTGAAACAAAAGCATGTTGAAGAATAGTATCTTTCATCCAATTTTATATGAACTCATTTCATATGCAAATAAAGGAAGAGTCTGGGAGGGAAAAAAACAAAGAAAACAAACCGACCAGGTTTCTGATGCAGGGACCTGAAAATGCAGGGGCTTACCACAGTTCTTTGGATCACCAATGACAGCATGTAAACTTGCAGAACTTTGAAAGTAATGTTTCATATAAACTGAACTGTTTCTCTTATAATTCCTTAATTTTTCCATAGTGCCTTTTGCTTATGAGGCAAGTACCTAAATACTTTATACTCTGGTCACCCAGGAGTGACTTGTCAAAGTCACAAATCTACAGCAATAGCTATAAAGACACCAGAAATCCATTCATCATCTTGTTCCATATTTCATGGTATTTTCATTATTTTTAGGGGCTCTTCAAGCAATTATATAGTTACCAGAGAAAATTTGGGACTGCAATACCAATTCTGCATTGGTATACATCCTCGGCATTTATATGTGTGTTTTATTGTGTTCTGTGTTAACTGTGTGTTCTATGTTAACCTTAACTTGTTCAAACTGCAGTTTCCAAACTTAAGTCTGCTTCTTCTCTACTCTAGAAGCATTACATAACTGCAATAAGCAATACTGTGACCGAATACAAAGAAATTGGTCAATCAAGAGTAATTCTTAACTCTGCCTACCAAAGCATGACTCCTAAACATCTCTCTCAGTCCTATGTGTTTTCCCCCTTGCTACTTT